ATTAACTCTATCCCAGCTGAAACCAGGACAGTTTATTTAAAGAAAAAAATAGTATAAAAATGGTACGACAGTAATTGTATATATTTCATAGCAGCACCATCCCTATTGTGACATGACAGAATTCTGGGGATTGAAAATTTACTTTGAATGTTATTCCTCAAGAGTGGTTTTGGCTCTGGCTTTCTTTACAGGAGAACTAAGCTTGAATCAGCTTCCAATTTCTGCTTTTCAACTTCCACTCCTGACTTAGCTTTTACTAATAGAAAGGGAAATAGCAGCTGTGGATAAAATAGCTGCAGATATCGATCCTGGACATACAGTTCAGACCAGACATTCAAGAAAAACTAGGAAATACAAAAAATCATTGTGCATAAAAAAAATGTTCTCTCATTACTATTTCTTTTTTTTACATTGGTATTCTTTATATTTAGAGTTGAGTAGCAATGCCTGCTGTTATGATGCAGAATGTCTGTCCCAGTGGCAGGAAATTCATCACACCCATGCCCCTGTCCTCAGCACTTTCTTCCTTGTACCATATTCATGTCCTGGACCTGTCAGTAAATGTGAACTGATCTTACACTAACAGGACAGTTCTGTATAGCGTAACAGTCCACACTGTGAAGACAAACCTAAACTCCTAGAAATTTCTCTAGTTCTAGAGTTATAGCATCTTTTGAGCACTACATCTGTATCACCGCAAGCTACATGCATGTACTGGATTGGATCAAATCAGATGAAATAACTTTTCACTATAAGCTGTAGGAATGAGAGGAAGAGCAGAGATGACACCAGACTTTGGCCTTGATGTCTGGTAAAAAGTATGGTTGCCTCTATATGGTTTCCTTTACAGCCAAAGGAAGATGGACAGGCACCTCAGGAAGTCGATTCACAACATATGTGTGCTGAACCACCCTCAGGAAGTAATTCTTCCTCCACTGCCTGCACCAGGAGCGTAAGGAGACTAAGCTACTAAATAGGGCACTTGAATTCAGTGTCTGACGTTAAGTGGAGTGAATCTGGTCCTTTTTGTTCATGTTTCTAACACTGTTTGGTTATAGTACAGGTTCAAAGCAATCACAGTGCATTTAGGAAAAGCCAGGCTGGTGAACTGGGGCCAAGCACATCAGCTCCAGCAATGCCTGGTCTGTCTGGACTGCATGAGGAAATATGCTTGAGACCCTGAACCCTCCTTTACAGCGAGCTCTGGAAGTCCAACTAAGGCAGCTCCTTACCACAGGTCTGAGGGTTGACAAAGTTTCTGGTAGATACTCCGGTCATCTGAGTGATCTCCAACTTTGTTTTTCTGGCTGTGTATGTCTACTTTGTGGCTTGGATCAGCAGAAGCTTCTGTGGAAATCATTAAATAGCTGGGACTAGTCTTCAGTCCTTTTATGCTTTATAATAGTGCAAAGAGCCCTGTTATGATTTCTAAAACTGGCATATTTCTCTTTGAAATTTTATCTCTTGCAAAACTTCAGCACTGTTCCAAAGAAAAGCATCTGCTGTAGGCTAACTTAGATATTACATAGCCCTCAAAGCAGAATGTTAGAAATAAAATCTGTAATTTCAAATACAGTGGTAGAATGAGACTTTGACTTCATTTGTACTCATGGAAATCCAGATTATCTCCATTTATACAGACTTTCTGTATTCTCAGACAACAGAATTAGTAAGCAAAATCTCTGTATCAATGCTGTGCAGCATAAATGTTTTTACTCAGCTAAAATCAGACATGACATAGATACCCTTGTTTTTGAGACAAGAATCTTTAGGATATTCTGTGGTCAAGGTGCTAAAAAGACTACTTCCCTTTCTAAGACTAATTATAAGATCCTGAAAATCCACCTATATTTTCCAAGGCAAAAGCCACAGACATTAATTTCTAGAGAACTGAGTTATAACTCTAGAGCTCTGCAACTTAAATATTAAGGTTGGTCTGACTGAAGTATGAATGGAAATTTATGTGTGCATGTGTGTGTAAGACCCAGAAGAAACAACAAATAAACTTAAAAAAATTAAAGGGCTTAAAGGGTTAAAAGAATGGCCTGCATTGATAATGAAGGACACTGTACCCAACTGCACCACTTCCAGAACACTATTCCCAGCAGCAAAATGGAAGAATGTGTTGTTTATGCCAAAATCAAAGGTCCTGCACCCTGATAATGTTGCAGCACAGATGACTTCTTGGTGAAGGCCCTTCATCCTACCATCAGCAGACAGGAAATAATGTTGTAGAATATCATATATATAATTCCTTTCCATATTAGCCATCATGAAATCACATTCCCAATAAGGAAAAGGAGGCAATGGGCAGCAACCTGGTGTAACATTCATGGATGCTGGAGCATCCAAGACTGAGGAAAAAGACTGCCCCGTAAGAGCTGGTGAATCTTAAAGGAGATATAAAAATTTTGAAAGGTTAGTTTTCGGTGTTTGTCAAGAAGAACCCCAGAGGCACTAAAAGGATTCAGTATCTTCTGTCCCTGGTCTTCTGTGTTGAACACAGGTGATCCTGGCCAGACCACTCGGGCATACACATTTAGGTATGTGGGAGTATGTGGGTGTAAATGTGCAAGTGATTGAAATCTGAGAGAATGAGTGTGAATAGGTAAAATCAGTTTACTTAGAAGTTTTGTAAATAAATATCACGTTCCCCTTCCCCAAGATCTCACTGAGTTTTATTACACTAACTTCTCCACACAACTTATTTATGTATCTCTGTACAAGAAAATGACAATTTATCTGACCTGCATAATTTACAATCTAGGTAGTTCTTACATTAACATGCAATGGCTAACAAATCTATTCATTTTTAAGATAGAACAATAGGAAAAAAGAAGACCTTAAATGCAAAATTCAAGAAGAAACAAGTATGAGCCACTTTTGGAAAGGAAAACAAACCAAAAACCTCTACCATAATTAGATATTTTCTTGTAAGCCTTTGGTAGTTTCAGAACAGCTGTGGGGGAAACCAGCTCCTTTTCATGGGTCAGTGTGTGGTACAACTGTCCCTTCAAGTTTATAATATCTCTGATTAAGTTCTGGACTTTTGTTTGTGTTTTTAAGTATATTTTTTTGCGGTAAAGGAATAACTGAAACAGGACACACTTCAGATTCTCCTGTAGATTTAAACTTATTACATGTAATACATCGACTTTGATCCTAAAAGATGTAGACATAAAACAATAGACAAAACATCTGCCACTGGAATTACACCACCTCAGAAGAAAAATGTGGCAACTGATGTCTTCCAGCCTTGCTGTTTACCTCTTTAAATATGTTTATTTTCTGTATTTTATTGCTTTGCATAAATTATGTGGGTCCATAACCCTCATATAGGTTACTCTTATCTACATGTCTGTTCTGTTCCACCCCCACTGTCTCCTAGCTCACAGATACTCTTTCGTCTTACTTATTTTTTTCACAGCTCAGACTCCTGAGCTGTTTCTAGTGTTAAAAACCTTTTCATTTGTCTCGCCTCCTTTTCAGCCAGTGGTGAGAGATAGACATCTAAAGATCCCATCCTAAAAGAAGAATCTGTGGCCAGTGGCTGCAGCTGCTTTTCTGAAGTTTCGTCTTGTTCTTTGCTGACTGTGAAAGAATGCTAGCATAGACTAAATGCCTAGCCTATGGATGACTGAAGTTATAAGTTGACTGTTACCAAATGTATTTTATTGCTCATTGATATGTTCAGATTTCTGTGCTCTTGACATTTGTAACTTCCTGGTCTGAAAGTGCCTCTAAATTGTCCATCCACATTAAGCAGTTTCATTCGTAAATGTAGGCACGCTGGATAAATATAGGAGGGGGAAAAATAGATACTACACTCAATCTCACTCTCCTTCAGCATGCTCTGTGGCTAATATTCTGCACTGGTATTCTCTAAACCTCTTGATTGATTTTGAAGACAGAGTAGGGTAACTAATCAGTTAGTTAGACAGCTAAAGGTAAGTGGTGTGATTCCCTTTCAGTGTTTTCTTATGCCATGTATTAAATTTGGCTTCGAAGGCTGATTATGATTTGAAGACTTCCAAATATTGGCAAAGAGAAACATATTTTATTGTATTTCTCTATAATATTTTTCCTGCTTTGTGATTTTTCATAAAGAATATTACTCAGAGCAGCAAAGGAAATACAACCCCACCCCCATCCCCAAACTTCCCCAAATCCCTATGGAGAATAATACCATTAAGTGATATAGAATCATTCCTGTTTCATTTTTTTAGTAAAGTGCATGTTGCCAAAAATAAACAAACATCTGGAAGATGAAGGATCATTCTGTACAGTATATAGCTCAAGAAACATCTTTGTCTTATTACAATCTTGCACGATTTATCAAATATGTAAAAGATAGAAAGCTGCATGGATCAGATGACAGATAATGGGAAACAGACTTTTACCTTTAGGTTACTGGTTCAAGTCCAACCTATGTACAGCAAGCAAATACTGCTTGTGCTCTGGGTCTGGTATGCAATACACACGTATCAGTGAACTCCTACTCCTTTACCAGAGCAAAAATGGCAACATCATTAAATTTACTGTAATAATTGGTATTTTTTAAGACAGTCACAACTGGTGCAGGAGACTGAATAGATAATGCTAACTGCTTGGAACAGTTTCTCTAGAACCCAGATTTAGCACACTAGCAAGAAAACTATGAGGAGACTTTCAACTTTCTCCAAAACTAAATAACATCGTGTAATAAGAGAGAGACAACAGTGTAGAAACAGAAATACTAGAAGTTAATACCTCTGCTTTGGTACCCAACAGCTACAGTAATTAATCAACTAAGAACACCTGAGAAAGCATAAAGCAAATCACAAATCCCAAGCTAGTAAATTCCATGAAGTATACCCTCAAATATTCAGAGAAGTTGCAGTCAGTGTAGATGACCCAAATCCCATGACAAGTGAAAGGAACATTATCTTAGGTCTGAAACCAATTTACAAACTATATCTGGAAAATGCTCTTCCCCAGAATATTATTTTCAGTTGAACTGCCACAAAAGATGCATACGAAGCCATTAATAGGTCTCAAAACCTCCAGATTTTGTTCCAAAGTTCAGAACAGGGACTCTTATCCGATTTCTACAAAACTGGTGAAGAAGTAGACAGCATGTGCAAGCACTTTAGTGCAGTACTACTCTGGGTCAATAAAAGTCTGGAATGCATCTCTCCCTCTAGGCTTCCTCCATTCGGAGAACATCTGTCCCATTTCCTTTGTTCCCAAAGTCTTCTTTTGATTTGTCCCCAAGTCCATTCCTGGTTAAGCTGTCTTACTCTCAGTGTTGCAGATGGGAGCATTGTGTATTTATCTGCACAAAGCAACAAGGTACACCTTTACTCTTACTTACACCAACAGGTTACTCGGTCATAGTTCGGCTGAAGTTCATTTTGCTCACTTGGTCACCCTGCTTTTTGCAAAATTATGACCCTAGTAACTGTGTCAGGGCATTTTTATCCATAAACCCTACTCAGTAATAGTACCTATAGCTTATTGGAATACAACTAAAGAATATACAGAGAACCTGAAGTGTGTTCAGTCAAAATCTGAGTCTGTGAGGTGCAGAGTGCTTCCTGGTTTTTAATTGCTTCCATATTCTCTGTCTTCAGTAAAACTAATTGAGGTAAATTATTTGAACCTATGGACACTATATAACATAAACCAAAATAATTCTGTGCAAAAAGTAGATTTTAGATGATTATTTAGATGTTCTCAGGCAGTCCAGGATCATGATGTTTAATACTGCTAGTAATGACATATAGCTACACTGCAAGATCCAGAGACTCTATTATGAAGTGTAAAGTGTTTTCTTCTAAAATTGTGGTAAATATATATACACATAGGAATGTATATAGGTATTTCACATAAATAAATATAAACATACTTAAAATCTATCCTATCCAAGAATAATAAGACAAAAATAACTCTACTTGATGAATATTATATAGTTAAGCTAAGAGATTCAAACAGGGATCAGAATATAGAAAAATCTTTGCTCATGCTTGGGACCCAGATCTCAGGGGTGTTAGTTCCTTTAACTTGCATAGTCTACATAGAAAGCCTAATTTAAAAAATCCTAACCACTTGTCCAGTCTGGATGCAATCTACTTTTACCTGTCTTTTACAACTAGAATTTATGAGCACTAGTGTAAGTGATTTCAACAACTGGTTCTCCATGGAGACAGCAAAACCAGCAGTAGCTAGGGGATGGTCTCAAAAAAGGAGATGTTTGGTCAGGTGAAAAACTCAGGATTCAATAGTTTTATGGTGGTGGTGTGCTAGAAGGTTGCAATGGAGGAAAATCTTTATTAAAGCATAATTTTAGGCTTCAGTGCCTTTGCACTTGGGATAAAGATACTGTGACAAAATTCCTATTTTTGGTCATGCCTTAGATACAGACTAAGGAGTATTAACTGCAACGCAGGGGTGCAGCACCCACAGGGGTGGATGTATTACCTGACTTTTAAACAGTACCTCAGATGTGCAAAGCCCTATAAGGACATTAATTTATAGTCTGGGATTTAAAAAATAGAAAGTGTATTTTCAAAGGAGGTCCTGGCGTGGTCAAAGAATATTATTACACATGGGGAAATGAAGATACAGTGCTAAATAACTTGCAAAGGTCACACAACTAGAGTGGATTCTCAGTGTCTGGGTGATTACAGTAAACCACTCTGTCTCTTTGCAAACATAAGCCCCTCTGCAACAAACCTGGCAAATCTGCAATACTCTTTTTATGAGAGGTGATATGATGCAAGAAAATTGCTACATCTTCATTTTTATCCTGAAGTTGTCATATAGAAAAAACAACAGAATGCATCTTTAGAATTAAAGTTAATACAATAAAATTTACTGGTTTGACTAATGTTGAGTTATGTTGAGTGGAGAATTAAAAATAAGGTTTCTAGTTCCATGAAAGGGTCTGCCAAATTTTATAGGATTTTTCTAAACCAAGATTTTATCTAACATTTTTTATTTATATACTTAATTTTTTGTACTACATAATGCAGCCAGTGATGAATTAAGCTAACCAGAGCCTTCTGGTAGTCAGACTCAGAAAAAAAAAAAAAAAAAATGACAAAACCACTGTCAACATATTAGCAAGTAGTATGTGAAGTTAGACTCCAGAATTCTTAGATAATAAGATTTTTAAAACATGTTAGCCTTCTTAAAACAGACCCTGCACATCTATGTTGTATTTGGACTTACAAATTTGTACAATTTACAATTTTATGGTCAAATGACTTTCATCTTTTTGATGCTTCACAGCAAACTTCATTTGTCACGCAAAATATATCCATTTTTATCAGAAATCTAATTTAACTTTAAATAAATGTGGGAAAAGCATTTTGTTAGTACGTGTTCTTGCTAATGAAGTATATGCATGTGTGCATACAATAAAACATTTAAAACACTGAGATAAAAAGTGAATAAGTATGTTGGAGTTTCATGAATCGTTGACACATCATCAGAATTCATTATAGCTGGCAGATAAAATGCAGCTCAAGCACAAAACCTCAGAACATTTATGACCTCTAGTGGGAGAATGTGAATAACTGGAAGAGAAACAACTGCCAGTGGAAGTAAACAGTAACATTTCCTGTTCCCTCTTAATTTTCCCTAGACAGAGATTGGGACAGCACTACCTTCTATAATTCAAGAGAGTTATTCTTCTGCACCATTGACAGAAGAACTTGAAGAGGAAGCATCAACGCCAAAGTTAATTGATGGGTCTTCAGCACAGGGGTCTGGGGTTCTTGGACCCCAAACTCAAGATGGTTAGTAGGAAAGAGAAATGAGTTTTGCTTGTGTAACTTTGCTTTTGAGTGAGCCCACTTTGCTTGCTTATGAATGTCTGCATCTCTTAATGAAGAAGAGGTGTATAATTTCTGTACCTCTCTTACTGAAGAGAGGTACAACAAGCCTGTCTCGAATGCTCTGAAGTCAGATAGGTGCCTAGTCAAAATGTTTCCATACTATTTCACTATGAAAATAACTGTGTGCCAATGAAGATTTTTTTCAAATAAAATTTTACTTAACACTTAAACATTTATAACTTAAAACTTTGCTAATGGTTGGCAAATGCTACTAATGCTTTTTTTACTGACAGATTTCAATATCATAACCAACTATCTTTATTTTATAATGATTTGTTACTTGGTTTTTATAAATGTGTTCATACAAAATATAATTAAAATGTTGAAGAATTTTTGACGATGAAAACTACAAACTGTGAAACTTAAGGAAAGGGAGCTATTTAGAAATTTTGGGTCAAGCCGATTTTCTGTTCTGACTAGCTATAGTGAAATAAGAACTTTCTGTATCTCACAGGGGAATTAAAATTGTGAAACACAATCTGTCCCTCTCCCACACAAACATTGTGATGTCAATAATTGGCATTTGTTAGCAGCTACTCTAGACTCCTGTAGTTGAAGCTCACTAGAGTTATCCACTGCTGTGGTAGGTCTTTGTGTTGTATGGTAATCAACATACAACAAAAGGAAAATCCTGCTTTTTACCATGCCTAACACTATCACTGAGTGTCACAGAAGACAAATGGGAAAAAAAAAAAAAGTTCATGCTTCCAATATTGTGTGTTCAGTAAAGAGAAATTAATCATTCCTAGTCTTGTTTTTACACATATTACTAGTGAGCCTTGACCAGGAAAAAAAAATACACTCTTGTCAAAACAAACAAAAATGGAAATGAGATTTTCCCAGGAGAGTTCTCAAAAAACCACACAATTTTCTTCAAGTTTGAAAGCTTCAAGATGTTACAAAACATTTCACGTACTGAGCACTGAATGCAAATCAACTAGTGCATCAACTAAAGCTAGGCATGGGAGGCTCAAGGTGGTAACATACCAAATCAGACTATTTTTGTCTCTTTATTTATTTCAGCAATGTATTTTTCTGTCAGATGTTGTTGCTGTTCTTGGCTTGGTGCTGGATAGAAGACTACAAGGCCCAGGAACATCAAGCCAATTTCATCTTTTCTTGTTGATATATTTTTGAATCCTTCCTATACCTCTGTCCTTTTTCAGTCTACACCAGCCATAGGTGACAAATACCATGCCTCCTAGATCAAAAATAAGACAGAATGGAAAACTCTCTTCCTGTACTATGTTGCAATATTTTGAAAAAGTGTCAGCCATCCTAAACTCTACATTCATTTAGGCCTAGATTTGCTGGAATGGTTCAATGTGTGACAACTTATTTTTTCATTGTGACAGGCTTGTTCCCTGTAGCTAATTTAAAATGTCCGGTGGAGGAAGTTAAGGAGAGTATAAAAAGAGTCTTATCTCTCCGGAAATGTTATTCCTGGATGCTCAAGTAGAAATTCTCAAATAAAAGAGTACTCTGGTCACTGATTCTTTAATCTTGCCTGAAACGACACCACATATATAGTTTACCCTTCTGTTAGTTACAGCTGCTTGTTGGTAATTGACACAGATTAAGAAGGCAAATCTTCCATGTAGCCACAACTGATCTGGAGAAAATACCCATCTGCAAGAAAAACATTTTCATACTCATTAATTGTGTAACAAACAACCAGACATCTTCCACAAGGAGGAGAAAAACATGAAACAGAAAAGTATTTCTATGGGATTAAAAGCTGAGAAACAGACATGCTGATTTATACCCATAATCAAAGAAAAGATGTATCAAAAAATTCAACACACGTAGCAACTAACAACTTTTCCTACTAAAAATCACATTCAGACAAACCACTCAGTATCACAATTCTCACCAGATTTTAACAGTATCATCAAAAGAAGTGTCTGAATTCATGGTATTCATGCAGTTTTATTACTGAGATGAAATGGCTTCATTTTTAATTTTCGTGAACTTCTGGTGGTAACTAAATGTTTTGTTAACATGGTCTCCAAGTTACCTTAACTCAGAGTGATAGAGAAATTTTTCATGGTGCTGAATTTATTAATCAGAAAACATAATTAAATAACATGCAAGGGAAATTGAGATTCTTCTCCATAGCTCTGTAGGAAAATATTAATTTCCTTACAAATTATTCAGAAATACTACTTACAGAATGAAACATGGGAAATCATAACAAGTTTCAGTCATCAGCTATTATTTCTCCATCTAGATAGAAGTGCACACTTGTCAGCTTAGGGGGAAATTGATCCTAGGTTGGCTGCCCTCACCTAATATTCTAGTGTTGTAGTCTGAGAAACATTGTATCAGAATGAATTAAATGACTTTCTAATAGGCGTAGGCAGAAAAAAAATAGTTTTAAGTGAATTTAATCACTTTCTTGGTACTATTATATGATGTGGTGATCGAAACAGAATGGGAGTGAACTTTATCTTCGACAAAATCTTATCATTATGTTCTTAGGTGAGCATTTCATTATAGTAATTTACATATAATTTTTGCACTTTTTTTTTTTTGTAACAAACTGTTTTCTTTTAAATTCTTTGATAGGTCTTCCCACTTGCCTTTTGTGTACATGCCTAGGGACTACAGTCTACTGTGATGATCATGAGCTTGATGCTGTTCCACTGTTGCCTAAGAAAACCACATATTTCTACTCACGCTACAACAGAATCAGGAAGATCAACAGAAATGACTTTGCTAACTTAAGTATGGATAGTAGTATTGTTGCAATTAGCTTTAATTTCTATTATTTCTGGCTCATATTAATCTAAGACATAGTGATTCATTTTATGTAATGTTTGATGAAACGTTTGATGATGGTAGGATTATATACAGAAATGCACATATGGAAAAGTTGTTTGATACTTTTGAATGTAAAGGTCAATACTTCAAATGCAGATTGTCTGTCAATTTTTTTGAACTATTAGAAAAAACAACATTCATCTGCCTTTTTGCTGTTACTTGTAATCAGCTTTAGAAAGGTAGAAAAAAACCCAAACCTCATGGAGCATTTGTAGTTTGTTAGAAAGTACTGTTTTCCTAAACAAGACAAGTTCTCAGGTAGACATACTTTCAAATACTTGCAAAGTATCCATATGGAAGGAATTTTACCTTTAAATTTTCTCTTTAAATTCTACCTTTAAAGTATATGTCCATTGGTTTACTCCAGAATTATCTAGGAAAATGTTCAGTAAATGAAAACTGCTAATCCACAACCCCTTGTGGCCTAAAACTGGCCAGACTTGGTGATTTAGGGACCTTATATTTTCACATTTCCTACTTGAGATTCTTAAAGATACCTGATTTTTCAGGAAGTATTGAGTCTATCCTGTTTAGGCCTAGTGACTGCTATACACTCACTAGACTGAATATCAAGACACATTCTTTGTTTTTTGTTTTAGAGCTAACTTTGTGTAACTAATGCTTATTGATTTCATGATGAGAAGTGTGGAATTGGTGCCAAAAAAAGGCTACTACAATAATTCAGGGGAATGCAAAGATCCTTTTATGAAAGAAAACTATAAGGATTTGGCTTCCTCAAACCAAGATGAAGGTTGGGAAGGAACACAATTGCTGTATAAAAAACCCAAGGGGAATAAATACTAAGAAAAGAAAATTTATTTAGGCCAAAATATACTGCTAGCATAAAAATAAAATAATAAAATAACATAAAATAATTATGAAAAACATTCTGGGTGGAAAACAGAAGTAAGCTACAGAATAATGCATTCAAAATTAATGTGTATCAGTGCACTGATATTTAGATATTGTTCTCTTTTGCCACAGGTAAGTTTCACTTTCCTTTTCTGATAGGAAAAAGTGTTTGAGTGTATTTTAGAAAAAAGTCAATATATTCAATTTCTTACATATAGGAAAATGTTGAAAATAAAAACCGATGTGGGACAAGGTTGTAGAGAGTATGTTTATTTCCCTTTAAATGTTATTTTTCCAAAAGATAAGCATTTAAAAGATTTCCAGAACACAGAGAAATTTTAAAAATATTAACTTGAAAATCTTTCACTGAAAGCTGTATGAAGGATGACAAAGGCAATTCTAAACAGGATGAGAAGGAGATGTTGGTCCCCTTCCTTAGGAGAACTGTTCAAATACAGATTATTGCATTACATACAGAGAGCGAACTTCCACATAGTGGGTCAGGAATGGATCTGATTCAAGAGACTTCACCTTTAATTTAAATAACCCATTTTTCTTCTCCTTTTTTAAAACTTTCAGGAAATACATTCTTACATGCTTGTTGTATCTTATTTCTCTGCCAGATAATTTAAAGAGGATTGATTTGACTGCAAACTTTATATCAGAGATCCATGAAGATGCCTTCCGGAGATTGCCCCAACTTGAAGAGCTGGTGCTTCGTGACAATAGGATAAGGCAACTCCCTGAGTTACCATCTACCTTAACATTCATCGATGTTAGTAAGAACAGGCTTGGTCGCAAAGGAATACGTAATGAGGCATTTAAAGTAAGTCTGGGTTTGATGGGAAAACGTTTTCTTCCTCTCTCCAAAGGATGTGGTCAGAAGAGCAGCCTAAGTGTCCCCGTACAGTACTAAACACGCTAAGATTATAGGCGTCGTAGCTCTGCTGGCTGCTGGGTAATCTATAAAGGTGGAGCAAGATGTATGAGTACTATCAGCTGGACATGATAACCCTTTTTATTCTTCTTTACAAAGATCCACACAAGACATGCAATGGCACACTATGTTTGTATCTATGAATCCACTACCCACATGACTAGCAAGACTCCAGAAAGCTGCTTGATGTTCCTTTACAAGTAGGCAAGAGAGAAGGTCAAAGCTATGGATGTCAGTGCTTCAAACTTACTCTGCCATGTATCTACATGGGAACTTGCTAGACTATTCATTAAGTGTATATACTTTCTTTCCACCTGGAAAAGCAGGGAAATTGGAACCTCTGAGTGATCCTCCTTCCTTGAGAATTTTGGTGGGGAGAAGGAACCATGTACTGCTCCTAGTTGCATGTGAAATCTGAAGTCATTATAGAATATAGGCTAGCTTCATATGTTAGACCTGGCTCATATGCACTATTCAATTGCACCTAAGAAGGTAGTTGTAACCAGCCATCTCTGAATTTCCTCCTTTGAAGACAGGTTCTTAATGAAGCAACCAACAGCAGTTACGGAATCAGATGCTTTCTCCTAGCCCAACATAAGGGAGGTGTTGGGAATAGGAATGATGGACAAAAATCAGTCATGCACACCAAGACTCTGGCCTAGCACCCTTTTCTTCAGCACTGTCCTGATTTTAGCCATGAAGGAGTGTCAGCCTGTATCTTCCATATTTGCCAAGAACCTTCACCCTGATATATCAGAGTTCTGTCAGTAGGAATTAAACTACGACACTGCACTCAAAGAAGTAGTTAAGTACCATGATAACTTGTGCATGTAAGGAGGCAATATGAGAGTATTCTACTGAGCCTTATTCACCTAGCCAAGTTTATATCTTACTATTGTTATAATTACCAAATGAAGCTACTTCTTCTATTAAGTCAAGGGAGAAAATGATTTAACTTTTCAAAAGGAATGAGAAATTTATTTTTAGCTCAGGCATTTCTTACACAGTTACAATTTACTTCAACACCAATACACTTCTGGAAAATCAAGTAAGCTTGTCACAAAAGTAAGAAAACAGGCAGAATAGGAAGCCTTTCTGCATAATGACGAGAAGAGCCAGTATTTTCACGTTAGAACATCATTGAAATTACATCTCTAATTATAAAGTCTCTAGACATTTAAAAGAATTTTAATCCAAACACCTAATCTTTAGCAGCAACAGTTCTCAGCCTATGCAAATGGAAGTTCATGACTGCCTTTGAATTTCTGTGGTTTCAACTATATCATGCTGAAAAAAAATGTGTTAGTATCCAGTGGTGCTCATTGCAGTGATAGATTTCAAACTTACTTGCTAGAGATTTTCAAAAATGTCTATCATTTTTCCCTGCCTTTTTCCTTTATCCTCTAGGATCTGCATGACCTGCAGCATCTTTACATCACTGACAATAACTTGGATCGCATTCCATTGCCGCTCCCTGAAAGCCTCCAAGCTCTTCATCTTCAGGTAGGCTACAAAAGTAATGGCTCTATATATCATGTTCAAATAGTAAGTAAAACTGGAAAGTGAAACTATTGCCTTGTTTTGTTTCTTCTGTTTATCCAAAAAGTGTACTTACTTGACTAAGCAAACTATTGGAAACATACAATTAACTAGTGAGTGCAGTATTTGCAAAAAGTAAAATTTATCTCAGCTAAGCATTAATTATTAGAAATTGTAATATAATATTTTTCAAACTTAAAATTCTAGATTTATTATAGTACAGATTAAAGTTATGTTCACAGCTGCTAAGAGCAGCATTAGTCTAAGAGACTTCAACGACAGAAATCCCTCAAACTGCTCATACAAATCTTCCAATAGGAATTCTTTTAGATACCCAAAGAAAGTTGCTTTACATATTGGTTGTATCTATACCCAGTACATTTCATTCTCTTAATAAAGGCCATTCCCAGTTGCTAACATTTTTTCAGCCAGATTTTTCTATTTGACTAAGTTGGAACATCCCATCCATCATCTTTCTGTAATCCTTTTTTTGGTATTTGCTTTTACTTAAACCTTTGTTTCTGGATTCTTCCTTGTAACCTTTTCCATCTCTGCTTCTTTCCCTTTATCTCCTCTTGTACCAATGCCCAGTTTTGATTATCAGAAGTTTTTGTCTATTGCATAATAGAGCAAAAAACCTTTGAATAATTAACCGGATGTATCATATATAATTTGACCTCTATCTTTCAATAAATAAATCTATAGAAATACTCTGCTTGCTAGCTGACTTTTTTTTTTTCACCTGCCCATGCCTGTAAATTAAATATACAGTGCTATGTGCCACGGACCAAAGCTAGTGAGCTGGCCTTTTCCCATACCAATTCCTGACTAGCAAAGGAATGGAGAAGGGAAAAATATTCAGACAGCCCTCATTTTAGGAGATGACCTTTTTAGTCTCAATTTCCAGACAATATTGTACTCTAGCAATTCATTGTTGAAAAAGGCTCACTTCGAGAATAAAAGCCCAATGAAGATAAGATATATAAGAGGAATTTAAATCAAAGGAATAAAACCTAAAGCATTCAAATTTCCCTGTATATATACAGATGCAGGTTAAGCTAGTGTGAGAGGGCCTGGGGGAAAGAAATTTGTCACAGAACAAATTGCAGATGTGTGGCTTTGCAGGGTGAGGCGTATCAAGCTGTAAGGATCATAATTATGGTTCTATGATTTTTGGACTGGTCTATGCTGGTTCCAATTTGCATTAATAAGGCTCTTCAATATGATCCTGGAAATGAAAATGCTCTATACTTCTACCAGGCCCCTCCTGCAAAGCCTATCTCTGCTACATGGTTTGAGTTACTTAGTTTTGAAGCTATGCACTGGCCAAGAAATTTTCCCCCTCCTTGGAAGATTTCTCTGTTGATGACTTGCAGCCACAATCTGGTCTCTTGGGTTCAAACAAGTATCTCTCTAGGCATTGAAAACACACCCATAAATTGTTCTTCAAGGAATAAAAAAATACTTTCAGGCGACTATTCTGATAGCTTTTTTTGGTTTTTTTTAGAACAACAACATTCAAGAGATGCACGAAGACACATTCTGCAAAATGAAAGATTTTACTTATGTACGTAGGGCTCTTGAAGACATCAGACTGGATGGTAATCCCATCAACCTGAGCAAAACACCTTATGCATACATGTGTCTGCCCCGTTTGCCTGTTGGTAACCTCATTTAAACTTTGACAGAAGCAAATACTGTCATACGCTATAAGAATCTTTAAAGACAAATTATTAACTCACTGCTACAGTAAGCAAGATGTATTTTTTCAAATCTCATTAATTTGGGAAATATTTCTATTGATAATGAAATCGATTACTGAGATACAAAGAACAATATGCAATGCTAAAAGACAACTCCATTACCCACCCAACTGTAAGTTGTATAACAATATCAAGAAACATATTTTACTACAAAAACTGTACTGAATGCAATAAAAGATCAATGTAAATGCAAAATTTTATGCTGAATTATTCAGATCTAATGTATGAATTTTTGAAGTTAAATAGTTTTATATGTTAAAATCTAACTATAACAGAGTAAATAAAGAAATAAAAATGTGTGTACACAATTGAATATATATCCCCTTTTCATTTAATTAAATATTTTTCTCAGAGACAGCCCAATTTTTCTACTTCTTTCCTTAAAGTTTCCTTCATTTTGGAAAAGTACTAGCAATATTCCACAAAACATGTTTTCTTTAACAAACAGAATCTTTCATTGAATCAATAATGAAATATAGGGTTTAAACTTGTATCAGATTACCCCCCAAAAGTACATAAACTATTTATTTATACCTTTGTAGTAATAATTGGTCTGTGTAATGCTGATGGGATGCAAAGCTGTTTTCTGTATCTTTGATAAACTTGCCTGCCAGATTATCTGGCTAATAAAAATCTCATGTAAAATGATCTATTTGAGGAATACTCAACTTTATTCTGCATAGGAAGTGGAAAAAACTCCCCTTGACATATTTACAGTCACACAAAACATTGCAGTTCAGTATACTAAAGACCAGAATTCAGAGACCCAGGTCACAAATATCCTTGTGGAGCCATGTCTCAGTTTCCAATTATTTGAAACAACTTCACTCAGCTTTTCTGCTTTACAGATTAAGAGCCTTAGCAGCTAAAGATTAGGAAATTCCCTTCATTTGGATAGTTTGAACAACTCTTCTCCTTTTGTAGGGAGCTTTAATACATTTTTCTAGGGAGAAAGCCCCCAGAAAAGATGCATTAGATACAACATAGGTATTTGCTCATTCTGTTCTACAGTGACAAGCAGCAAATAACACCTACACATCTTCAGTGATAAAGGTTTGATGAAAGACTGCAGCCAAAAAAATCCCCATAAAACATAGCAAATCCTTCCACTTACACAAGTTGATATTTGTTTAATATCAAAGTTCCCTTTCATCTAACTGAACATACATGTTCATTTAAAACATAAGTGCAGCTGACTTGCTAAATTTCTGTCAGGCCGGGCAATGGAAGCTCTGTTCACAGAGACCACATTCTTCACCCTCACTGCCACTTTCTAGAAGAGAACATACAGGGAACAGGAACAGCAGGTTTTTACGCAACAACCTCAGACAGGCTAAAATCAGAGTTGAAGAAATACAACAGGCTACAGTGGATGTGCCTTTATGATCGTACCTTTACCAATTTGGCAGTCTTACTTGAAAGCTAGATAGGCAAAAAAATAAAACCAAACCCAAACCAAACATAAGAGCTGGGCCCTTCGCTTCCATTTAAAATATTTTTTCTTTGTTTTCAGACACTTGTACAGAACAAACTGTATGACAACAGTTATCTTCATTTTAACATTTCTTTCCACAGACATGAGTTGCTCTTAGATACATGCTCTTAGAGCTGAGACAATTTTTTTTTCCACCCTCCAATTCTCTTCTCTTCTAATAGTAACTGAAAGGTCAATGGTTTTAAAAAACACCCTTCCGAGCTACAGACTTCATTTCAGGCCTAAATTCTGAACCTATGGGACTGTGTTTAGTGGTCAAAAGGGTGATATGCAATACATCCTTAAATACACAGAATCTACAGTATTTTATTCTGTAGCCATTTTGTCTCACCTTTGGGACTCAGTTTCCCTGTTCTGTCAATCTATATGTAAATAACCAGCTTCATATTGTTTTGTCAATCAAATGAAAAGGAACATTGGGGCGGAAAAACATTATTTGTTCTATTGGGCTGTCGTTTTCTGTGAAATCTCTGTCTCTGTCAGTGTGTTGTGCTGATAGTGGATACTGCCTCTAGAAGGTTATGATCTCTTAGGACACATATGCATTGCTTTCTAAATATCAGCCAGAGCTTGCACCCCCCCATCACTTTCTGTGCATCTGCATTGCTTGGGCATATGCCTGTGTTCAGACACAAGCTTTAGGCAGGCTTTGGGGCATACTTTGAAAAACAACCATGATTCTGTATTGGGTTTAAATGTCTATGCACTCATGTCCCTGGTATACAGACAGGTTGAACATTGCCTAATCTACAGCTATTTAGCCTGCACTATTAATACATCTTTTGGAGCCCTCACAAACATGGCCAGTACCATGCAGACAAGCTTATTCCTAAAAAAGTCCTAATATTGCAGTGTAAACTTATCTCCAAAGACTTCCAGAGAGATCTAACTAGTCAAATTCACATGGTTAACATAGGTGTGGACGCTGCCTTACACTCCAGTTCAACTGAAGTGTTTTCTCAGTGCCTAGCAGGTAAGCAGAAGTTCTCAGAACTGGCTATAACTGTGCAGTTAACCCAACAGTATCACATAAATTGAGGAAAAGGTCAGAAAACAACTGATCCTGACAAAACATTAAAAAAAAACAAACCAAAACAAAAACCACTCTATTGCTGTATTTTATGGTAATCTAATTAACTTGAATATTAGATTCTTACAGAACAGAGACACTTGCATATCCAGATGTGTTTCATTACCTATAAAATGTATGTATGAATGTTAACCTCCACCGGTTACTTTACATCCTGATTGTGAAGCTCTTTCCCCTCCAGCAAATGGAGGTATAAGCAAAAGAATTCCTAGGTTTGAATAAGTGACTTACCTACCCAGGGCAAGAAAATGGATAAATAGCTTTCAAAGGGTCACAGAATATAATGCAATGGATGGAACTGTACTGCCAAAGAACTTCTGGGAACTGAGTAGGGGATGGAGCTGGGAGGAAGGAGGTGATGTGAGGTGGGGACAGGTTATGGAGTGACATGATGAAACAAGAGAGGAAGAAAGTAGGGTTGAGAGCAGAGAGAGATTATTCTGGTTCTTTCCTGTTGTGCTGAAAGGCAGAGGGAGAGCAGAAAAATCCCAGAAGTCTTAGATCCTAGATGCAATTATTTTTACGCTCAAGAGATTCTAGCCTTTCCTTTCCATTCACACGTCATCCCTCATGCTATCACCAGCTGTTCATGTTCCCAGTGGAGCACATGTGCTCTGGGAAAGATGAAAATTCAAGAGTTGAGGGGGAAGTGAGGGACAGCACTAAAGCCCCTTTCATAGTTGCTGCAGTAGGTTGAATCAGCCCCTGAGCTCTTGTGCGGGGGTCAAGCACCATGCCATGGCGATGGATTTGCTCCTTATACCACATCTGTTTCCAGGAAGATGCATATCAGTCAGAGACGGCAACTCTTGCTAATCGTGATGAGTATGGTGCACCCCAATTACACAGAGGAATATGGGTGTTCAGATATCTGGCCCCCAAACATATTCTGTGGTGTGTACCTGCAATTTGAAGACTGTTTTGCAAGCTACTCTCAGATCAAGGACAGCGAGGAAAGGGTATGTTGCAAAAAAAAAAGCAGGAATTTGTATGGTAGATAAAAATCCACTATTGTACTCCAGAAGTCAAGAAATACTGAATGGAATATAATCTCTCTAAACTCTGCCTTGGAAGAAACCTCCAAAACCACAGACCAGAGCTCCATCCCTTGTATAGTGGTCAGCTGTACTAATCTAACGCAGGCCTTATCCAGTTGTGGAAATCTAGCCAGGGAGTTCACAGTTTCTGTGTATATATTTTTCTTTTTTGTGTGGTTTCTCTGAACTTCAGTCATTCCACAGTACAGATCAGGCTGAGTCTTATGGAACTCGGTTGTGATGTTCAAGTGCAGACCTGCTTCATGTGAACAGAACTCCTGAAGCTTGCTACCAAATTCCATTCTTCAGAGGTTTGGGAGAGGTGCTCAGTATGCAGAGTGCATGTGCTACCTGCTCTGCTACTTTTCTCTGCCTGAGCCTTAGCTGCTCTTCCTCTGCAGTTCAGTATCCTGCAACAGCACTGTCAAACAAGGTCTAAGCCTGTGCTTGTCTTTCAAGCAGTCTTGCAACTTCCCCATTCAAGAAAATGCCAAGTGTATGCCTGTGTTAGGGAAAATAAATGTTCTGACTTTTGCAACTGTGAATGTATGATACAGGCAAAAAGTCAATGTGAAATTTCTCCAAAAGAAGAAGTTGTACCAAAACTGCACCAAAGGAGAACAGACAAAAACTCCTACAATGTGTCCTGTGGTCAGAAATGCCATGCCTGGCATACACCAGAAATAAAAAGAGCGCTGGAGATGCGGAAACTAGACAACTCTATTCTTGCTGAATTCTGTTTCCAATGACTGTGAGATTGCTAGGGAATATTATCAATGCTGTAAGCAGTAGTGTAGCTGTCATTTTCCACTGACTTTTGTAAGAAAAGCCTTTAGAAATTTTCTACTTGAGTTATCTTCACACTACTTCACAAAGTGAATGTGTATGAACCTGACTGATTTTAGCAAAAGATAGATAAAACCAGAACTAAGAACCTTGAAAAAAACCTGTGTAATGGAGAAGACTAAGCTTTAGAGATTGTGCCCAGTCCTGTGCCCATAGTATAAGTCTCTGCTTCCTAGGGAAAACAAACAAACTTGTCCTTCTCTCAAACAAACCAACTCTCTTGCCCTGTGGAGAAGGACTTGGGGGTACTGGTGGGTGAAAAGCCGGACATGAGGCGGCAATGTGCGCTTGCAGCCCAGAAAGCCAACCGAATCCTGGGCTGCATCAAAAGCAGCGTGGCCAGCAGGTCAAGGGAGGGGATTCTGCCCCTCTGCTCTGCTCTGGTGAGACCTCACCTGGAGCGCTGCGTCCAGCTCTGGGGCCCTCAGCACAAGAAGGGCATGGACCTGCTGGAGT